TAATAAAAATTAAGTCTCAAGGGTTTTAAATCGGATTTTTCGAGGACTTGGAACTCTCTCATTTTTAAAAGAATAAGACTCAGAGTACAAAATGGAGTCTCGAGACTTAAAATAATTTTTCCCAAAATTTATTATTTTTAAAATATTTTTAAAATTGAAATCGATAGGAAAAACGGGATTCCATAACTCAAATGGGTCAAAAGGGCCGCACTTGGGCCATTGAATAAAACTGCTGCAAATTGCATGGAATTTGGGCCGAAACATGGCCTGGCCCAATGGCTAAAGGTTGCTGGCCAGCTCGGGCTGCTCACGGGCTCGCGGGCCAGATTTGTTGATAGGCGAATCGGGTCGAGCGCGGGCCAATTGCGGGCTGTAAAGCCCGCGCGCTGGGAAGGCTCATACTATAAAAAACAAATATTAAGATATCCATAACAAGATTCGAACCATGGACATCTGGCTAGAAACTGGGCAAAGTTGCCGCTGAACTACATGCTTGTTTGCGAAATGTACTGAAACCAAACTTAACATAAAATGAAACCTCTGAATTTTTAAAATGCCCACAAACCAAACAACAGAGAACCAGTAACAGGTTCTTGGAAAAGTTACAGAGGCTGCCAACATGCTATCTGCTGAACGAAATTTGACCGAACTTGCAACGACATATCAAACGACATTCGGGTTTTCGAGAGATTATAACGTTATCGAACATACCAAATTTTCAGACTTCAAAAGATTTTATAAAATGGTTTTTGGCTCGGAAACGAAAGAACCATATATAAAACAAAATGAACGACCGGGGTTCAAACGACCCGAACAACCTTACGACGACTCGAAACAATAAAACGAGACTCCGAACTTATGCGCATTTCTCACAGTAACACAACGGTATTGACGTTTATGAAATCGAGAGTTCCAATCACTTCCGAAAATCCACGAATAAACGCACACAACAATTAAATGAACTAAAAGAAATCCGACTTCAAATCAACTTTCGGTAAACCGAACACATCATATATATAACGTGTAATATATGAAAACGACCGTATTAACTAGAGGATTAGAATAAGTTACCCGACTTTGGGAAACTACGAATTATTGAACGGAAAACGGGCCAAACAACGGGACAGCCGACGGCTTTGGGACTTGTAACCTTCCAAGACTGTTTTGGGGCTGCTGGACGGGACCGGTGTAGCTGTTCGCGAGTGGAGAACAATGCTATCCTCGACGACGACCATTTACTGATGATGGACGGACGAACGGCGACGGGCTCCTCGGCTATGGCGGACACGGGGAGGACGCCGGCGAATTGGGGCTGTTCGCAGGCTCGCCTGCGAACAAGGTGGTCGTGCAGAGAGGATGATGGTCACCGGGAGAAGATGCTGCTCGGAGAGTTCCGCTACTGGAAGGCCTCGCCGGAATTTGCAGGTCCTCAATTTTTTTTTTTTTTAAACCAAGATGAACGAACAGAGAAGATAAAGGAAAACTTTGAACTGTTCTTGTGAGGGCTGGTCAATCGAAAAGAAATACTTTGGCCGGGTCTTATGCAGGTGAGGGAAGGAGAACATGCGCTTAAGAATCGCAAATGATTTCTGATCCGTTGGGGGAGAACGACTCAGTCGCACAACGGGGAAGAAGGAACGAATTTCATTATCCTTTGGGCTTAAGCAATAATTAGAATTTTGGCCCAAGTAAAATAAGGAAATGGGCCATCAATATTAATATCATTTGGACTGAACATTTAATTCTAAAAATTGGGCTCGAAGGAAAAAAATGCGATAACAAGAATTAAAAATAAAACCGGACATTATATATATATTTATAATACATGCAATGTATATATTTATAATAATAATAGGCATTTAGAACAATTAGACATTTAATCACAAATAAATAATAATAATAATAATAATAATAATAATAATAATAATAATAATAATAATAATAATAATAATAATAATAATAATAATAATAATAATGAGCAATAATAATGGCAATAATAAACCAATAAATATCTCAAATAATTCTAATTCAAACGGGGCGTTACAGTCTACCCACCTTACAAAGAATTCCGTCCTCGGAATTCGAAAATAAAACTAGAAATCGATAAAATACAAAGGAGAACTCAGAACTCAAAGTTCGGATAACGCCTCCTAATATCGTCCTCCCTCTCCCAAGTTGATTCAGTCTCATCGTGTCGGCTCCACTGCACCTTCACTAAGCTCACTGCCCGATTCCTCAGCTGGTGGACCTTCCGGTCCAAAATGACTGCCGGTACCTCCTCGTAGGTAAGGTCTCGCTCGACCTGCAGCTCGCCGAAGTCCACCACATGATCGGGGTTATGCACATATCTCCGAAGCATCGAGACATGGAACACGTCGTGCACTCCCGACTGTTGTAACCCACGAGGATCTCGATATGCACAAATCACAAACAAACATTCAACATAAACCTA